TGATTGTGATCAATTAGTTGTAAACACCACTGCTCTTGGACCAGCCACATGTGTAATATTGAGAAGGGTTTCTTTCTTTTTCATCTTTGATTTTGGTGTGTGTGTGTGTGTGTGTGTGTGTGTGTGTGTGTGTGTGTGTGTGTGTGTGTGTAGTTTGTGTTTTTTTGTTGTTTTTTGTCTGTTTGGTTGGTTTTTTTTTTGGTACCGAGAATTAAACTCAGGACCTGTGCCTCTGAGCTATATCCCCAGTCCTTGTTAGATTTCCTGAAGCTGAGAACTGATTTATTTTGCATAAACCTTGGAACATTATCTCATTTCATATGGTCTCTCCCGCGTGTTCTCAATTCTCACCCTGTGAAGTTATTAGACCTTTTCCTTAATCCTCCTATTCTCTCACCTTGTCTTTCATATTTTCTGTCTCATTTTTCTTTCTATTGCCTTTTGCCATCAATCCTCCTGCCTCAGCCTCCTGAGTGCTGGGATTACAGACATGTGCCCCCACACCTGCCTGTCTGGTAGTTTTGTTTTTTTCCTTTTATTTGTCTTTTTGAGACAGGGTCTCGCTATGTAGTTCAGGCTGGCCTTGAGCTCACTTTATAGCCCAGGCTGGTCTCTAACTCACAAAGATCCTCCTGCCTCAGCCTCCCAAGTGCTGGGATTACAGGCGTGCGCCGCCGTGACCCGCAGTAATTTTGATATCTATGGGTTTTGTGGGTTTGATGCTCTGCCTGCCATTTCTGCTGACACTCTCATGGTGCTTTTTTCTGTTTTGTGATTTTGTACGTCTTGTTTTTTTAAGGTTGAGGCACTAATAAGCTGGAATCACTTTAAATTTTGGCTTTTTTTTTTGAGCCAACAAGCCGCATTTTATAGTTACAAATTCCCAGGAAGCTGGGTATGGTATGTAATCCCAGCACTGGGGAAGGGGAGGATCGCAGGAGGACTGTTTTGAGTTGGAGGCCAGCTTGGACTACAAAGTGAGCTCACGGTCAGCCTGAACTGCATAGCGAGACCCTGTCTCAGAAAGACAAAAAAAAAAGGAAATTCTCAGGAAATATTTTTCTGTCCCTCTTCCTATTGGGACAGTCAAATTCCTCTGCTACAGAGTTTGGCTTTTTTGTTCACTTTTACATAGAAGGCATGGGCAAGGGGTCCCACACTGATGCAGCCTTTTCAGGTTTTGTCTCTGCTTCATGTTGCTTGTGACTGTCAAAGTAGTAAGAGCACTGTGGAAGTAGATGGTTCATTTTTAACTTACCTGGCAGGATATCTGGGTTTACATCAATTTTTAGCGAATGTGGAGACTGCCTTTCCTTTCTTGCCATTCTGTCAATAAAAATACTTATACTGAGATTTTTTCTTTTTTGTGTGTGTGTCTTTCTGAGACAGGATCTCACTATGCAGTTCAGGCTGGTCTTGTACTCATTTTGTAGCCCAGGCTGGCCTCAAACTCACAACGATCCTTCTGCCTCAGCCTCGCAAGTGCTGGGATTACAGGTGTGCACTACCACACTGGGCATGAAACATATTTTTAAAGAATATTTTTCCCCCCCGGGTGTGGTGGCGCATGCCTACAGTCCCAGTACTCAGGAGACTGAGGCAGGAGGATTTCTGAAAAGGTCGAGGCTAGTTTGAACTACATAGTGAGACCCTGTCTCAAAAAAAAAAAAAAAGGCAAAAAATAAACCCCGAGAAACACGCACACAGAAAACAAACCCAGAATAAATATTTTCCCCAGCCCTGTCTGTCCGTTTTCTTACACTTTTGTGAACAGAAGTTTTTATTTGTTTGGGGGAGCCTGTTGTGCTGGGAGGGCTCTGGGCTTGTTAAATGTGCTTCCTACCACGAGCTATACCCAAGCACAAAGTTTTCAATTTTTATAAAGTGTAGTTTATACTGTTTGTTTGTTTTTTAAAGACAGAGTCTCACTGTGTAGTGCAGGCTGGCCACAATCCTTCCTCAGCCTCCTATGTGCTAGGATTATAGGCATGTGCTACCATGCCTGATGCAAGTTTATCTTTTTTAGAAAACATGGTGTGCTGCTACACATTTGTAATCCCAGCACAAAGGAGGCTGAGGCAGGAGGATCCCCACAAGTTGGAGTACAGCCTGGACTAGGTACTGAGACCCTGTCTCAAAACAAACAAACAAAAAAGTAGCTATTGCTCTTTGTGTCCTAAGAAATCTTTGCATACTTCAAGGTGCAAATTAGATTTTTTTTTGGGGGGGGTTTCTTTTTGAGACAGGGTCTCACTATGTAGTTGAGGCTGGCCTTGAGCTCACTTTGCAGCCCAGGTTGGTCTTGAACTCGAAACAATCCTCCTGCCTCAGCCTCCCGAGTGCTGGGATTACAGGTGTGCGCCACCACGCCCTGCTTGAATTAGATAATATTAACCCCAGCATTTTTAGCTGTTTTGAAATTGGAGTTGGAGGACAACTGAGAGGAGCTAGGCTGCGACAGTGTCTTCAGTTCTTCGTGATTCTTCAGCCTTATGCTACTAGAAACTCTCCCGTTGGCTGAGTGTAACAAGTCATCTCTTTCTCTCTAGGTTTCAGGAAAAGGAAGACTCTTGATCTTCTTTTCTGGATGACTCCCTATCTCCAGCTCTTCCCTGGATGGGGAAGGGTAGTTGTTTTTAGCTGCCTTGTCACCTATGCTGTCCAGTTGCAGTGGTTTTGCTGCCAGAAAAGAATCAGACCATGATGTGGTGACTGCCCTTGTCCCAGGGCCCTCCTACCCCAATGGTTTATTAAAGTTATGTTTTTCTATAAAATCCTACCTATATGTTATTTATACTGTCTTATTCCAAGAAGAATGTAAACAGGTTTACAGAGCTATGTAAGAATTTTAAAGCTGGGCATAGTAGTTCATGCCTATAATCCCAGCACTCAGGAGCCTGAGGCAGGAGGATTGCTGTGAGTTGAAGGCCAGCCTGGATTATACAGTGAGACCTTGTCTCAAAAAGAAAAAAAACAAAATTTTAAAAGAACAATGACAATAATGGAACCAAGAATGAGGCTAATATAAAAAGCAATTAATTGTTCCCTTGCTGTCTCAGTCTGCTTGGTTCCTGAGTGTAGAGAAACAAAGACTGAAAGTTTGGCTACTGAGAGATTCAACCTGAAATTTAACCAGCTCTATTTGGTGTATAAATTTGAACAACAGGGGCTGGGGATTTAGCTCAGCAGCACAGCGCCTGCTTGGCAGGCACAAGGTCGTGAGTTGAATTCCTGGTACCAGAAGAAAAACCAAAAAGCAAAAAAAAAAAAAAATTGAACAACTAAGGTCAGCACTTAAGTGGAGGGTTTGGAAATTATTTTTTATTGTGGAGAACCACTTGGTCATCATAATAGATTCTTATACGGAAAGGAAAAATCATGAGGCAGCCTGCTCCACAGAGATAACCAGATTTAACCTCTGTGCAGGTATCTTCAGATACATGGATTTTTTTACCTTTGAGCATTTTTCTTTCATTTCACAATGTCTGTCATACTTCCTGATTTTTATTCACTCTTTCAGGTACATGTATTTTTAAAATTTGCTATTAAGTGGGCTATACCATACATGATGAATTGTTCCTTTGTTTGAACCTGAAACTTTCAAGGTGAACAAATGCATAGTCTAGCCACAATACAAGATACTCAAATTTTGATTCCGGGAGTCAGTATTCCTGCGTTCTTGGCTTAAATGGTGATGAACAGAAGAGAATAATAGTGATTATCTTGTAGCTGTGTGGCATTTCATATGTTCAGTGTTCTCACACACTTGTCTCCTTTGACCCTGAAAAGCACTTGCAGCGATGGGGAGCAGTGTTCCTCATTATATATTTGACTGCTCTATTTTGAGCAGTTGAGCTATTTTGACTAGCTCAACTTTTCTGACCCGCTCCCCAAATCTCAAACAAACCTGTTTCTACCCCACTTTTTAAGACTTTTTCTGTCTATAACATTGACTGGATTGTCAGGAGCAGCTGAGCTAGTGATCTTACCCAGTGGGAGCTGAGAGCATGGCTGCCTGGGAAAGGCCCTGAGGGCACCAAGTGCTCCAGGGCACAGGTGTCCCAGCCCCCAAAATATGGGTGGTTGGGGTGTGGGAGGAGGGGTTTCACCTGATACCAACTTGCTAAATGTATAAATAAACGCACTATAGTGGTTGAGCTGGTCCTTTTCCTCCCATCCAGAGAGGGCTCCACCTGACCTCAGGTTTCTGTGTATTGTTTCTGTATTTCTCCATCCTCTTGCCATCCTTCCCCCTGGGAACTTTGAGAGCTGCACTGGACAAGGCACTGGATAAAGTCCCAACTTTCTTAGTGAAGCACTTGTGGCTTCCGTGAAACGACTGTTAACCCTCACCTGCTGGCTCCCTTAAGGTCCTCCCAGTACAGACTGCATTCCCATTGATCCACACACCTACAGTTTTGGAAGCTGTCTCCCTAAAGAGCAGAACACCTTTCTTGTTTTTGTTGTTTTTGTGGTGTTAGGGATTGAACTCAGGGCCTTTGCACTAAGCTACATACCCAGCCTCTCCCTCTTTTAATTTTTGAGGCAGGGCCTCAGTAAATTGCTTGGGCTAGGCTTGAATTTATAGGCCTCCTGTGTCTGCCTCTGAGTGTTGGGCTCACAGACATTGCCACTACATCCAGCTTCCTGGTGGTTTTGCTCTTTTTATTTTCCTCCCTGAGAAACATAAATGTGTTTTTATAAAATGGCCTATATTGTAACTTATGACCTTTTCTTTGCTTAATCAATGTACACTTCTCCATCCCAGAGAATACCTTAGCAATATATAACTAAGTTCAATTTCACGAGTCAGGTTTACTTCTCTCAGTTTGTTTTGTGGAACTGGGGATTGAACCTAGGGCAAGCACTCTAGGGCAAGCACTATAGCAATCACTGAGCTATCTCCCCTAGCCTTTTTACTTTTATTTTTAAAATTTGGAGACAAGGACTCAGTGAGTTTTCTAGGCTGGCCTCACACTTAGGGTTCTGCCATCTCAGACTTCTGCGTGGCCGTGTGTCTGTCTTCTGCACGTGCATCTTCAAGGACTAGCACAGTGCCTGCAAAGACCCAAACTGAAGGTGCACTGAAGCTGGGTCTGGTAGCGCACGGCTGTAATCCCAGCACCTGGGAGGCTGAGGCAGGAGGATCGTTGTGAATTTGAGACCAGCCTGGGCTACAAAGTGAGCTGAAGGCCAGCCTGAACTGCATAGCGAGACCCTGCCTCAAAAAGACCAAAAAAGAAAAAAAAAAAAAAAAGATGCACTGAGTGGTACCCAGTAGGCACAAGGCAAGGACCGGAAGCCAGGCTGCTTGATTGTTACGTGTTTCCAACTGCGCCCAGGTCCCGTGTCGTATTAGAGACCCAAAGGAATCATAAGGAAATGGGAATTGGCCAAGAGAGTGTCACTATCGGCCCCTGTTCCACCCGCCTCCTCCCCACCAGCGTTAAGGACGAAACCGGCAGGGGCTCAGCCTTAATGTGGGCACCGCCCCACCTTCAGCACACTTCGCGTGGGGCTCTGACCCAGCCTACCCTGAGGGGCTCGGGCTTAACTCGGCAGCACTTGTGACAACCCCACCCCGCCCCTCCCTCAGGACCGCCCCTTCCGTTAATTCACGTTCTCCTGGCGGCGCCTGCGCGCTGGCGTCTTTTGGCGGAAGTAGCCCTGCGTCGCCTGCCCTCTGACGCATTGGGTACTGGGGAAAGGAAGTAGGGACTGCAGAAGGCGTCACACCCGGAAGTGGAGAGCCGGAAGTGGGGTTGGACAGGTTATCCCCAGGGGTGGGGAAGCAGAGGCCCTGGAGGAGGGGGAAAAAAGAAGGCGGAGGATCCTGCCCACTACTCTGAATCGGATACAGATTCTCTTCGAACTCAGAGACACAGAAAAAAGGAAGAACCCCCCCACTTCCTCCTTTCCTCCCTTTCCTCAGTCTCAGCCATGGCCGAAGCAGGGGCCGGGCTGAGTGAGACCGTCACTGAGACAACGGTTACCGTGACAACCGAACCCGTGAGAAAGGCGTGGGGGGGCGGTGCTGTCTGGGGGTCTGAGGGGTGCCGGGAGGAGGGGACAGGGCTTTGGGAAGTTGCTGGAGGGGCTGGCCTTGGGAGTCCGGGAGCTGTGGGCTGAGTATCACGGACTGGGTATCGCAAGGGGTTGGGAGTATTTGGAGTTGCAGGAGGCTGGAAAGGGACGTGTGATAGGGAGTTAGGATGTAGCTGTTGCTGCTTAGGGTGGTGGTCTAAGAAACACACGGAAACTGGGGAACAAGGAGCAAGAGAGGTGCTGAGGAGATGAAAGGCTATGTAAGAAAGCGTGGTTGGCGGCCAGCTGTGGGGGATTTGACCGTCAGCATACTTAGCAATGGATAATTATTCAGTGGATGAGTGTAACCGGAAGTGGAGGGGATGAAGAAAACAACGTGACAGTGGTATTTTGACAAGTCAGGGAGGTGTGTTGTAAATGAGCATGTGTATATTTTTCTTTCATGCAAAAACGGATTAGTTTTCAAAGGGAGACAGTTGCATGGGATTTAATAGTCTTGCTATGCAGTTCAAGCTGGCCTTGAGCTCACTTTGTAGCCCAGGCTGGCCTCAAACTCACAACGAGACAGTTTAGTAGTTTAATAATAATTGCTACCAGAGAGGACAAGATGCCTGGATGCTAGTAATAGGTGCATAAGGTAAGGAGGGCTGGGCTTGAGGACAAGAGAGGTAAGAATGCAGGTCTTTCTTTAGTGGGAAAAGAAATAGGGAGTCCAGCAAAAGAAAGAGAGATCAATGCTTGTTCTCTGGAGACTGAGAAAAATATTTTTCATGTGTTAATACCACCAAGAATGATGTGGGGAGGAAGACAAAGAAACAGTGAGAATTATATTTTCCTTTGAAGATTTGCTGGGACTTTCCTTAGGTTAGGAATTCTGTCTTCTCTAGACTAGTTATTACCACGTACAGGAAGGAATACTTCTCCAGGACTTCCTGAAATCAAAGACCTGTGCTGTTTTATCTTCCAGCACTCTGCTCTTGTGGTACTTTATCTGTAGTGCTGATTGAGCTGAGGCAGGGAAGAGACAAAGTCTCCTGGGAGGGAATGGGAAGGTTAGTGGGAGGAGACTGGGTAGATAGGCCCATAGCTCTTAACCTTCTAGGAGAATCGGAGCCTAACCATCAAACTTCGGAAACGGAAGCCAGAGAAAAAGGTGGAGTGGACGAGTGACACTGTGGACAATGAGCACATGGGGCGCCGCTCATCAAAATGTGAGTAACTGTGGACCCACGGTAGCCTTAACTCACCGCCTGAAGCCCCCAGGTGCTCACAGTTCTGTCACTTTTCTTGGTGGTTCTCAGGGAAAAGTAGTTGCAGTTAAGGAAAAGAGGTAGAGAGCTTCTAGAACTGTAATATACCAAGGCCTGTGGACAGGAAGTATAAGGTGGAAGGGGGACTTCAGATTCTTGGTTCCCAAAAGGGACAGGGGGGTGGGTGCCTGAGTCCCCTGCTGTGGGCCTGGAGGAGCTGAGTCCTGTGAAGGAGCAGGAGACAGCAGTGGAAGTAGGCATTTCCAGGGGTCCCAGAGGAACGAAACAGACTGAACAGCTTATTCTTTCTTTTTAACTGGGCTCCTCTGTCCTAATCTAGGTTGCTGTATTTATGAGAAACCTCGGGCCTTTGGTGAGAGCTCCACCGAGAGTGAGGAGGAGGAAGAGGAAGGCTGTGGTCACACACACTGTGTACGGGGCCACCGCAAAGGACGGCGTCAGGCAACCCCAGGACTGACCCCCACCACACCTCCCCAGCCTCCTGACCCCTCCCAGCCCCCTCCGGGGCCAATGCAGCACTAAATTCCTCTCTTCCCTACCATTCCTGTGTCTGTCTGGCCCTGAATGTATCCACATGGCTCCTGGGGACTAAACCCGTGGCTTGATCCTTTTTCCAGTCCCTCTTCCCTGGCCTCTGCCTGGTAGAGGAAACAGGAAGAGGAGGATGGACAGAGACCCTTGCCTGACATTCTGACTTGCTGCTATTCCAGAACCCAGGCGTCTGGGTTCCCCTAGCCCTCACTTCTCCTCCCAGTTTTCACCCTGCCAGGGATCGAGGCGCCTTGGTCCCAGGCTCTTCCCTTTGTTCTCACTGCCAAACTGCCTGTCCTGGGATCCGACTATGCATCTTGGCCCCCTGCACGCTCAACATGAGTCCCAAACACTTAAATTCAGTTTTTGGCAGTCCCAGCTTTCACTGCCAGGGTCCCAGTCAGATTCCAGGCAATCTCACCCCAGCTGTGCTTGTTAGTCCTGGCTTAGAGCTCATGTATGCATTTATATAATCCCGATTCTCAGTCCTTGCCTGTCGGGTATGAAGTCTTCAGGGAGAGCACAGGGCCCCGCCCTTCCCCTCCTACCTCCCGCCTGGAAAGCTCAGAAGGAGCTAGGAGAGAGAGGTCTTTGTCCTTTTACCACGGATGGAAAGTGGAACAAGAAATAGCCATGTCCTCTCTTCCTCACACTTCTAATCTGATACAGTATTTCTGACAATGCTGGCTTGAGACTGGTCACTCAGAACCCAGAATCTTTTCAGCCTTTGGCCTTTCAGCTTCAGAGACATATAATAAAGTCCACAGTGGACGCAGAAAGGGAAGAACGTGGGAGTGAACGAGAAGTCGGAGGTTCGTCTCCTCACGGCACTTGGGCCGCCAGCCTTCAGTGTCTGCCAGCCCAGGTGTCCGCCATCTCGTCTCTCCTTGCCCCTTACTGGGATCTGGTTATTTTCTAGGCTTCTTATGATCAGCTGAATTACCACCACTGAGATCTCATTTATTGCCACAGACACACAAAATAAATAACCCAACATCACAAAACGTGTTAAATACAGGCCCATTTATACATATGGGGGAAGATGGGAGACTGTGTGAGGGGTTTGAGGCTCTCTGGGTCGTGCCCGGCCTGCCAGAGGAAGTAGCACCTTCTGCGTGGGACAGAGGAAGTCTCAGGAGGAGGGCTGCGAAGAGCAGCCACAAAAGGAAGGTGGAACAGAACCAGCTTGCACTTCCCCCCCCCCCGCCATAAAGGGTTTTAAGCTCCTTAGAGGTCTCGAGTGTAGGACAGAGTCCAGCTCTTGTTTCCCGTGAGAAGCCGCAGCTGGTCAGGACTAGGAAGCCTTTGCAGTTCGGAGCGGCTCGGTCCTCAGCACGGGCCTTCACCAACACTAATGCGACAGGGCGTGTGCCTCGTTCAGGTTGTAACCGCATGAAGGGGGGAACCCAGTTCTTCACACGTGTTGGGGTAGCTGTGGGGAGGAAAGGGTCCCAGAGGGAAGTTTGGGAATGGCGTTGGGCCAGGGGGTGGGAACCCAGAGGCCAGCTGAGGTCGCACCGCGGCGCATGGGTTAGGGGCATGCTTAACAGCCCCGCCCGGGCACACGGCGAAGTCCCATCGTGAGCGGGGTGCGGGTGGGGTCCGCACCCGAGAGGCGGCGGCCTAGTGGCCGCCCAAGTGGAGTGGGGCTGGGGGTCGCGGCTTTCAGCCCTCGCCGGGCACGAGGCGCAGCGGGGTGCGGGGGTCGCAGGTGCAGAGCAGCGGGAAGACGCGCTGCCCCAGGGGCCCGGGCGCCTGGAAGGCGAAGAGCAGGTCCAGCGAGCGGCCGTCGTAGAAGGCCACGCGGCCGCGCTCGCAGTCCAGGTCCACGCGGATGCGGCGCGGCGCGGGCCCG